TTAGCTTATAAGCTAAGGAAATACAAGTAATACCTCTATTCATATTTACCTCTAAAAAAATGCAAAAATTTGGAAAAGGCTAATTTGTTCCACAAACAACCCCTTTAAAATGATCCACAATATGCTGGATTTCTTCCATATTGTTATCAATATACAATCTCCCACAAGAAATGTCCTAGACAAATAAAGATCATTGACTGCTCTTTGAAAGAAACCCTCCACACAAGTAGCATCCTCTCATGTCTTAGACTGTCCAATAATGACGCTTGATAAAAAGAAGAGGATAGCCATCTTCAACCGATCTGGAGAATATCTTATTTTCAAGAGCTTTTCTTTGATATCGGAATACCTTATTTTTGTTTCTGCCACTTCTCCATGAAATCCATACTGCCCAATTCCAAATAGTTAGGAGGATAGTTACAACAGTTTAAACCCAATATGAGAGCGTGTTCACGTAGACCATATTGAATGGGCAATACATTTACAATAAACTCAGCATCCTTTTTTTTCTCCGTAACCACCATTCGAAGCAGCAGCAACCACATGCTCATTACCTTGTGGGTTGAGTCTTTGTGCATGTGGAAAAAAATGTTTAAATTGGGGGTGATCCAAAAACTAACTCTTCTCCTCTCGTTTAAGTGGATACTTTAACCCACTTAGAAGTAACTCCACTGCTTTCGTGATATAACACATTGACAAGAGCTTGATTTATTTCACGTACTCCGTTGGCTGGAAGTACATCTCTATAGGAAGCATTGACGCAGTTCCTTGTAACACATAGTTGTACCAAGTGTTACTTTTTTTTTTGAAAAATATTTAATATACTGAACTTAATTTTACTAAAAACCCAGAATATTATTAAATATACAAATTCAGCCTTAATTTAAAACAAAATCACAAAAATGATAACCAGCCCAAAACTGAAGTACTTTAACCAAGCCCAAAACCCAAATCCAATTATTTCAAAATCTAAAACCAAGTAACGACGGTTCTACATATTGTTGAGGAATCAGACTCAGCGTCGTCTGTAACGGTTCGAGTGCTTCTGTCGTCTCCGTTGTTGCCTTCTGCTTCTTCGTTCTCTAAAGGTATAGGGTCTGGGTCTTCATATACAATCTGAGATGTTGTCTTAGATCTTTGAACTGCCACTGTAACTTCATCACCCAAAGCATAATTTGGCCTCTTTGCATGCATCATATGCCTACTTGAACAATCCCGCAATTCTGCTGATTATAATCGAATCTAAATTAACATGCATCTCATAAAACCGACATCATTATGAAACTTACCTTTTCCAATTGGCCTCAAAATCGATTGGTCTCTTTGCTGAGTTTGCCTTAGTTTTTCTAACTACTCGAAGTGGTCCCGACAAAGTAGAACCAATAGTGGTTTCGTCAGTTTTTTTCTTTCAAATTTTGCCCTTAAAAGTGATCTTTCATCGATAGAAAAAGGAAAGTGTGATTTTTGTCGGGTTTTTTACACAAGGATCCGATTAAGGGATGCACGATGTATGGGGTTGGGTGTGTTTATCTTGGTTAGATCAGTAATATTGTTAAGTTTTTAAGGACATAATCGATATCCACCACTTTTTCTATTTAAAATAAATATTTACAATTGCCACATATAACTAAGGGTAAAACGGATCATTTTTAAGCCACACAGTTGCCAAACAAGGGGCTCACCACGATCCAGGGCGATAGACGCCACCTGCGTTTTCAGCCTGATCCGAGTTTGCTGCACCTTCTTCACAGCGCCCTAGAGGAGCCACTGCTGGCGCTTCCTCCTCCGCTGCTGCTACACAGGCTGGACCATCAAGACGCCAGGCCACACCCACTACTTTCAGGCGCCCTCCTAGACCGACGACGCCTATGGATATGATTGCCTTTCAGGACTATGTCATTGACAGCTTTGAGGGACTATGGGATGCTGTGTCTACACTCAGCAACTGTGGCTGTGTCCGCCCTCACTCCAATGTTGAGGCTTGCGAGGATGAGGACTAGATCCTCTACTATCTAGTTACTTGTTTCTATTTCTCTGTTCTTTTATTTCTCTGGAGTCAATTTTGTGTTTTTCTTTCGAGTCAGTTTTCAGTTGCTTTGATGTTGTTTTGTGAACTTGTTGGACCAGGTTTTATTGCTATGTTTGGATGTTATTAAATGTGTGTTTGAGTGCTCTAACAGTCTGACTTTAGAATACACATGATAACATGACGTTTAACACATCTAACTTGTCGTTCCTGGAGTTTCAGACGTGGTGACGCTCATCACCACTCAAGGGTGACGCTCGTCACTAGTCCCTTCGCGAGGTACCACTTTTCTAACTCGGTTCTACACATTCACTTGCTTCTTTTTGACCAACTCTAGGCTTAATAACACTAGGGACAGTGTTGTTTAAGTCTGGGGGAGGTGGTTACTGACGTTGTGTACTTTGTATTTGATTTTGAGAGTCTTAAAGTTGAGTCAAAAATCTGTTTTATAGAGTCAAAATTTTGAAACTGTCAGTTTATCTAGGAACTAACCACAGAACGTTGATGCTTATAAGAACCATTGCCACAGTAGTTGATTACAAGTCTTACTAAGTTGAAAGTCATTGGTAGATCAATCTAGCAATCAAGGTTTATGTTCTTAGAGAATCTGGAAAATTTGCTGTTAGCTCCACCTTAATGAACTTTAAACTTCTTATCTTGGGGCTTGATTCTCATTGATCTTGATTCTCTCTTTCAACACTGACAAGAATGTTTAGATACAGCCTCTCTTTAATCTTCCCTGATACAGATTTTAAGAGTTTAAGTCCATAGAATGGTGCATCATGACCCTGTCTCCTTACAAGGAACAACAGTAATGAACATTCAAGAACCTGTCTCCTTACAAGAAACACAAATATTGAGTAGCACCATATCTTAGACTGTAAAAAAAAATGAGAAAAAAGTTGAAAAATCGAAAAATTCCAAAGGAAAAGATCAAGGGAAGAGAAAATAGGAGAGCTGTGTTGAGATTGATTTTTTAAGTGTTTAGGAAGGGAAAGAGTCTATAAATGATTGAGTTGATAAATCCTTAATGAGACATCATACTTAGATAAATATAAGGAGTTAGTAGTAGAGATTTTGGATTTCTTGGAGGAGCTTGAACTGGATTTGAGAGATTTGCTAAGCTTGTGATGATTAAACTGAAATTCGATCTTGTGTTGGCTCTGTGGTATGTGGATTCGAAAGTGTTAATCAATGTGGTGTTCCTGATGTTTAGCTGGTTGTTTCTGTTTTCAAACCTCGACCCTGTTCTCTATCTGATATTTGCTTGAGGGCAAGCAAAAGCTAAGTCTGGGGGAGTTGATATATCATGGTTTTTATGGTTTTTAACCATGATATAAGTCCTTTTAATTGAGTCTTTTTGGTCTTTTTAGAGTCCTAGCAGAGTCTTTGCAGGTTATAACATGTCTGGAGCACAATTGGAGATTAAGGACCTCTTTGGAGCATTGCAAGAATCAGCCACAAAGTGTGCAACTCAGAAGGCGGATGTTGGATTTGGTGACGATCATCACCACTCAAGGGTGACGCTCGTCACCCGTATCTGGGAAGGAGTCGCGACTATTGTTAAAAGATGAGGAAGAAATTGCAGTTTTGTCCCAGAAGTTCTAGTATTTGCAAAAGTGTTCCAGCTCGTGTTTTCGCTTGTATATATTAGGTTTTCAGTCATTGTTGGCTTTTATCTTAGATTTTAGAATTTAGAGAGCTTTAGAGAGAGATTTATTCATAGTTTTTTTGGGAGGCTGATCATGTACTCTTTTGAGAAGATTTCGAACCCCTTTAACTTTTACTCTATCTCTTTCAATGCAATTTTATGCAGCTATGCTTTTTGTTTTCATGATCATGTCTGAGTTATCTGCTAGTTAAGTTAGGGCTTTTCAAGGGTAGATGAAGAGTTTGTAGAATCACTAAACTGTTAGGAATATCTTTTGGTTCTTCATCTCTACTTGCTTTAAAACCGATTTCTTAGACACATCATCTGGAAATCCAAAAATCATAGGTTGTTTAATAGATGTTAGAACATTATTGATAACCTGAACTAGTATTAGATGAGCAAAACGACTTAGTGCAAAGAGATTTGGCTTAGGAGTTTTGTGAACAATTGAACCTGATAATTACTGCATGTTTAGGTTTGAAACTTTGTGATTTAGACATAGATAACATCTGCAATGAGAATTGATTAGTTATATCTTTACTTTTCATGTTCAAGACGGTTTTAATCCACTCCTGATTTGCATGCATTATACACTCTCGGATTCAACCTATGAATTGATCTGACTTAGCGCTTTTAGTTTTCTGAATCTAGATCAACCAAAAATCGTTTGCTTTCATTGTTTTAGTTATTTCGCATTACATTTATTATCTACTGCTTAGCCTAGTCCAAATCTATAATTGTTAGTGTAGTTTACTTACTCTCTTGGGATTTGATAACCACTTATACTATAACTGCATTGTTGTGCACGTGCAGTAGTTTTATTTAGAAAAAACATGAGCCCTATCAAGGTGCTGGTGCAAAATATTGTATGAAACGTCGTCGTCTTTTTATCTTGATGATTCTCTAGGAAATACCCAACAAAATTATATATACAAATGTATAATTATAAATTAGATTTATACCAAAAAGATCTGAATATAAAGAAAAAGAAAAAGAAAAAACAAGAGAGATGTGAGAGAGAAAAAATATAGATATAAGAAAATAAGGACTGTGAATATGAGTTTGAATTTTTTTGGAAACTTGTGATTTTTGATATTGTTGGATTCAACAATAGTGAAAATGGAGGAAGAGGAGAAGAAGATAGAGAAAACTGATGGGAAAAGAAAAGGCTCATATATAGAAAATAAATAAAGATAAAAATGTAAAAATAGACATATAGAATTTAATAAAAATGTTAAAGTTGAAGTGATGTTTTATTTAAAAATGATAGGTATATATATATATATGTGATGTAAAATATATTGAAAAATAATGCAGTGCAATGAAAATAAATAGTGTTTATCAATATTATGTGATTAATAAAATTCTAAAAATATGATAATGAAAAAGTTATTTATAATGAAATTAAATATTAAATTATATCCATGTAAATGCTTTGTAAAAATGAGAGTAGTACAGATTGGATATGACACATGGTTCCCATTAATTAGTTACAAAAAGCTAAGAATTTAGGATAATTGGTCGAATAAGATACTGTCACAGTAAAACATGCATATGTGGGTAATATAATCTTCTAAAAAATAGTATCACATCAATAGTGATTGATATGAACATGGTTTCTATTTATTAGTTATGAAAAGCTAAGATTTTAGGATGATTGATCGAAAAAATATTGTCATAGTAGAATATGTATATATGGCTTATATATCTTCAAAAAATAGTTTCATATCGATAATAGTAAAAAAACATCTATCAACTAGATCTGCTACAAATAATAACATCTCTCAAGTCGAACTCATTCTAAATTTTGGGTTTAAATTTAGTGAAAAAGAAAAACTAAAAATGTGTGACTAAATTTATTTTAATCCTCTACATTACTTAGAGTACATTACTCAACAGATTAGTAAGACTAAACTGGTCATAATCACAGCGATTAGGTGGGCGCTTTTTCAAAACATAGGTCTGATTTCTTCTGATATTCTACCTACACCTTTTACTTCTTATTGTCTTTTTCTAGGTTACCTTTATTTTGGATTATTCTTTTTGGATTATTACCTTGGAAATCAACCATTGTTATTCAAAGAAGTGAAATGGGTACTTATAGTGTCAAACAAATGCTTTCGCATTTTTTGAAGAGAACCTTCCGTTTTAATTTCTTCTAGGGTGTGGGGACGTCCTGTTCCAACTTTTAATATTCTAGGTTTTTCTTAGTTTTTGTTATGTTCATGTGTATTGCTCTGTTTTCTCTTGTTACTATTTCGTTTATTTGGCTTCAGAAAAATCCAAGTTTGTATAGAGTAACAGTATCTCGAGTTTGTAAAATATGGACAGAATCAGTGGATTGCCCGATGAATTGCTGGTCAAGATATTATCTATTGTTGGAACAAAAGACGCTGCTTCCACTAGCATCTTGTCTAAGCGATGGAAGTTTCTTTGGATGTGGTTGCCTGAACTTAAGTACATGAGTACTAGTACAGATATTGATAATTGTGGACTTCTTCGGAATTTTATTGACAAGAACATGCCTTTGCATAGAGCTTCGGTCATAGAAAAATTGTGTTTCGAGTTAAGAGATTCTAATACTGAAGATAGCAAACGGTGGGTTGAAATTGCAGTCTCTCGCCATGTACATGAGCTGGAAATTACTCATTATTCAGATGATTCAAACGTATTACCGAGCAGCTTTTACACCTGTAAATCTCTCGTGATCTTAAAACTCAGTGGTGTGGTTCTGAGGGATGCTCCTTCAATGGCTTGTCTCCCTTCTTTGAAAGATTTGCAAATTGATTGTGTTACATACGCAGATGATGCAACTCTTCAACGCCTTCTTGATATATGTCCTGTTATTGAAGAACTGGATGTGCATTGTGATGATTACAATTTAAATGCGTTCACTATAATCGTCCCGACTTTGCAGTGTTTATCACTCTTTCTACCTGAAATATATATAAATAGGTATGTGATAGATACTCCTTCTTTGCAGTTTTTCTATCTTGACGATTGGGATTACGTTGAACACGACTTTGAGATTAAAGATATGCCTCAGCTGAGTGAAGCATATGTTAATGATTATTTCTTTGCTCTCAAGAATGTGATTAAATCAATCACATCCATCAAGCATCTTACAATATGTTCAGAGGTAATTCATTTTCTTTTCATATTGCAAGATTTCTATCTCATTGAAAAATTTGATATGGCTTTGAATGAATAACGAATCAGAGATATGTATATGTAGGATCATGTGTATGGTGATGGTTTAATTTTCAACCAGCTTGAACGTCTGACTATATGTGTTTGCCAAAAGGGTTCTTCGAATCTCCTTGTCCAATTGCTAAAAGATTCTCCTAACTTACGAGTACTACAACTCTTCAGAAGGGAAGTAAGTTTCTTCAATGAACTATTTTTTTTTTTTGGTGGATCTAGTGTGCACTGTGCACTATGGTTCTAATCTAACTATGCTGCTTGGTATTCGTCTCATGATCATGAGGATGAGGAGGAGGAGGAGTGTAGTGATATGGATTTCTGGAATGAACAGAGTCATGTTCCTAAATGCTTGTTGTCGAGTCTTCATGTTTTTAAATGGTTACGATACTTTGGGAGACCACAAGACAGAGATCTCACGGTGTACATCTTGAAGAACGCTTGTTGCTTAAAGAAAGCAGTAATCTTGGCTGATTCAGTGGAATATGATGTTCCAAGCATTAAGATGATCAAAGAGTTGGCACTTTCTACCCGAGCTTCAAGCACATGCGAACTCGTATTTAATGAGGACGAGAATCATATTGAGGGATAAGAATGTCTTCGACAGAAATAATTAGAGAGATACTTGAAGGTACAAACTATGTATTTAAAGAATGTCTAGTTCTTGAACTCTGCTATTTGCTATGCTCGTATGTTTCATCTTCTTCAAAATTCTAGCTTTTATCTATTATCCAATAACAATGAGATATATTGTTGACTGAACGATAATCTGTATTCATGTGTTCAGTTTTAAAGTTTTTGGATTTGAAAGTTTTTGTTTGGTTTATAAAAAAGTTAATTCGAAAAGAAGTAAAATATTAAATATGTGTAATGATTTGTATTCAAATGGTGAAATAAAATAAAGTTATTAGTGAATTCTTTTTTGACAAGGAGTTCATGCCAATTTTCTAGTCAAATTAGATTTTTCGTCTGCATTACAGGCATGTCTATATTATTAATTTGCTCTAAATTTTAAATTTTATTAATAAATTTAAATTATTAAAAATGAATTTACATAGATTTTTTTTTTCGTAAATGTTTTTATAATATATGTTTATGTTGTATATTTAATTTTTTTTTAGTAATTCTAGCAACATATCTATTATTCAGTTCTATTTTATAAAGGTCAGCCACGATAATAATTAATAAATTTTCTATTTTTTATTTACATTAAATACATTTGATGGCCTACTATTTTAAAAAAAATTATTTGGATCTCTTTTCTACTTATAAAAGATTTAGGACAATTATTGAATTCTCCAATCTTGATGCGTTCGTAAAATAAACATAATATTATTTGAGAAACAGGTTTAACAAAAAAAGGTAATGTGTAAATTAATAATGACCTGGAAATGTGACATGACAAATTTCCTAAAATAAACGAAATATTTTGATTGGTTAAGTTAAAATTAAATAAATCTTATTTTTAAATAATAAAAAATTATATCATATGTGAAGAAATTCTCATTATATAGCAAGAATTCAAAATTATAAATAAAACAAAATAAGTATCCTCATAGCAAATATTTTTATATATAATATTTTATATATAAATAAGAAGTAGAAGTAAAAGTAAAAATAAATCTATACGACTTTGATTTTTTTTGTAAAAATTCTCAGACTATATTTTTAGTTTAAACCATCTCTAACCCACATTTATTTTAAATCTTTTAATAAAGAAAAATAGAGATGTTATTCTTTCTTCTATAGTTGGAGGAAAAGTAACAATCATTCTTTTTCATGTAATATAGAAATAGGTTGGAAAGAAACCCACCATTTTAAAGAAATCTACCTAGATGATCTCAATATTTAATATATTAGTCAAGATTAAGAAAAAAATGAGTCACAAAAGTTAAAATAAAAAATAAAAAAAAATAATTTTGATCGATTTTATGTGTTTATTTGAAATATTTTAAAATATTAACTTACACATACTAATTCTTTCATGCATATATTTTTTCAGTGTATTAAAATATTATTTCATGAATCAATTTTTGTATATGTTGTGATCCATCAATATTATGAACTGAAGAACTCATTATTTTTAATATAACAGTCAAATATTAAATAAATTATTTTACACATTAAATAACACACATATAAATTTAGATTTGACTGGTTTGAACGATGCGGTTACGGAGAGTTTGTGGAAGCGAGTGATTGTGGACGATAAAAGTTTTGATGAGGAGATGAGCAGAGCGCTACCAGAGAATTTTATAAAATATGAATTCAGATATTTTATAATAATTTTTTATTATGTTTTTTTTATTGAGAAATCGTACATCATAAAACGCTGAAAAGGAAAAAATTTCGATTAAAGACGAAAATATATAAATAATTTTTGTGATTGTTATTAAACGCCAAAAACTGCATCGTGTAAAAACATAATGATGCATAAATATATGTATTATAAATCATGTAAAAACCAACACCTAAATATTATAATTCACTTATTTCTAACTCATATCTACATTCAAAAATATATATATTATTTAAAAAAAAAAATTCAACCATACATTATAAAAATATATATTATAATATATATTTTGTTATTTTCTTTTAACACACAAAATTCATATTTCGATTGTTTCACAAATATGCGGATAGATATAAATATTAATTGTGCAAAAATCAAAGTTGCATGCGAACTTGTCGTGCATTCATTTTTATAACATCGATTACAGTCTACTTTTAATTTATTTATTAGCCAATTTATATATATTTTAAAAAACAAATCTCTATATGTCCTAGAAGCAGTGAGGCGTTTGGTATGCACGAATATGCGGGTCAACCATCTACTCACTCTTAGGATAAGTAAAAATGATAAAAAAAACCCATCTTAGTTTAAGTAAAGATGATAAAATCCACTTAAATATATTCATTGGCAAGATTATATTGTGTAAGGGGAAAAAGAAAGTATAGTATAGGTAATATTCAAAACTTATTATAATAATATAATTATTATTTAATAAAAATTTTATATTTGTAATTATATGTTACTGTAAACGCTAGAAACAAAAAATGAAAAGACATAAATTGATATGAAACGTTTGTGTGATTGTTGTTAAACACTAAAATTGTATATGTATAAAAACATAACATTTACATAATATATAAGAAAATTAATCAATAATAAATACTAGAATTAACTATGTCAATAAAAAACTTATATCGTCACATGCGTGCGGATCAAAAATAAAAATTAAATAAATTGTTATATATTTTAATGTTTTGCAGTTTATTTAATTATCTTATTTGCACTTTTTATCTAAGGAAGTATTTTAAAGTCTTGGTTATTGATTTTTTTTATCTTCAAGTTATATTGAAATCTATAATATTTTTCATTTGATTTATCGATATTTTTTATTATTAAATATTTATATAATGTTATTATTAATATATATTTAATTATATACAAAGAAATCATCTTCAATATACTATATTAATCATATATTGAACATATAAAATATTTTATAGCCTGCACACAGTGCGCACCCATCATCTAGTTTAATTTATATAAGAATATTTCTTTTTTGCTAAGATCATAAGCATCTATTATCTCTAGAATTATTTGATATTTTAAAAAACTGAAACAAATACTCTTTTAATATATATATATTTCTATTGTATATTTCAATATGTTTTTTCTATTTTTCATAAAACAAATTGTGCAATTCTGTAATATATTTATCACCTACTTTCATTATACTCTAATTAGCCACAATCACCATTTCGTTTATATTTAATCTCTTTTCTACATCAAACGTGTTTGATGGCGTGCCAATTTCAAATACCATTTGGGTTTCTCTTCTAATTATAAAAGATTCGTTAAGTCTATTGAATTGTCCAACTTCGATGTGATCGTAAAGCATATATGTTTAATTTAGAGAAGAATAGTTTTTTTGCTAAGATCAGGGTGATTTTTTTCTTTGTGATTTTTGTAGTCGTTTTTTTATACAAAAAGGTCACTTTTAATTTTGTCTTGAAATGAATATTACAAGTAATTTTCCAAGCTACTGCCTTTGAGTTTAGAAACTGAAATTTGTTTCACTAAGGTTTATGTATTCGAATCTTTGGTTAGTTGATTGAATATATGATTAATATTATGTACCTAAGCATCTATTACCCCTAGTTTATATTGATTCAGTTTTTTTAATTTAGATATGGTGTTTTATCAATTTTTTATTGTAAATGCAAAGTCTTATATCTAATTATGTGTTTGAGAAAAGAAGAGAATATCATGCACACTCCTATGAAGCTCAATCTGTAAGCACTACGAAAAAAGTGAATTACATCATTTAAATTGTATCACAAAACTAAATGCTATTAATTTTAAGTTACTTATTAATAAACAATACAAAATATGTGATTTAACATCAGTTATGATAGTTGATGTTTTTTATTGATAATTTGACTTCAGTTTAATAAAGTTGATACAAATTTATATTAATTTACATCAGTTAAACAAAATTGATATAAAATTATGAATTTTCACATCATATAAATAATCGATGTAATCAATAATTTTTGTTAACATCACTTAAAAATAATATAAATTTTGTATCAGGTTAAAACAGATGTTACTGATATATCATGATTTTTATGGGTTTTAACCATGACAAAAGTCTTGTTTGTAGAAACGTTTTGCTATTTTTCGAGTCTTTTTTAGTCTTTACAGGTTTAGGTACGTTTGGAGCATAATTAGAGATTTGGAAGCATTTTGGAGCTATATTGAAGTTGTTGCTGAAAAAACCAACTCGGAGACATGTTTGATGTCTGGTGTCGAGCGACACCACACCATTTGTGTCGATCGACACCAATCGTGGACGCTTGTGGAGATTTAAAAAATCTTTGAAGAATTGTAACTTGGCCCATGAGCTTTTCATTATTTGCAAATTTGCCCCATTCGTGCTTAGACTTGTATTTAGGTTTTTAGAGCCATTATCTTATTTTCATTGAGACTTAGAGAAAGAGATTAGATCAAGAGCTTTAGAAGAGACAAATGCATACTCTGTTAGACTAAAATTTCGAACCCCTCTATCTTTACTCTATTCTTTTATGCAAGTTATTTCTTTCATGATGTTTTCTCTATTCACCGTGTCTGAGTAATCTACTTGTTAGGTTTTGAGTTATTTAAAGGTTGATAATGAATCATTAGAGCTGCATAACTGTTAGGATAAATCTTTTGGTTCTTGATTTAGATTGCTTTAAACACTGGTTTTAAGATTGATCATCTAGAAATCAGATCTTAGGATGTTTAATAGATATAGAAACATTGTTAATCACCAGAACTATCTTAGATGAGCAAAATATCTAATCACAAAAAAAATTTGGGTTAGGGTTTGTGAAAAAATCGAACTTGAACTTTAATGCTTATTTAAATTGTTTGACTTTGCAAAGGAATTTGGAATTCTAGGGTTTAACCATAGAAAATCTCTGAAACATAAGTTGATTGGTTTTACATTCGTGTTTTCGAGTTCTAGAAAGGTTCTATAAATTATCCTAATAGTTTGTGATCTGCGATTTGAGTCAATCTGTGAATTTCTCATTGCCTAGCGCCTTGTCTCTTGTTTTAAGAACCTACAAACATCTGCTTCTTTAATATAATTGTTTTATTTTACATTACATTAATTCGCTTAGCTACATTCCAACTTGAAGTCTACTGTGAAACAACCTTAATTCTCTTGGGATTTGATAACCTTTCATATTAAAACTGTCTTGTTGTGCACTTGCAGTGATATTATTTAGGTGAAACTTTACTCATATCAGTAAATAATATTTTTTACTTTACCCTACATC